TATAGATTTTTTTTGAGCCAATGGCAGGTACTTTCATAATCATAACGTCCGTTCAGTCATTGTGTTCTAATCGTGAAAAATCAGGTCTAATATGCAAATTATATCATTTCAAGTTAAATAAGTGCCATGTGTATTTCGAACTAGCTCTTGTTTTACCGAATGCTTTATTCAATTTCCGATTGAAATTTGCTTTCCTTCCCTTTTCTTTGTATCCAATGCACCCATTTTCTCGTGTGAATGTTCGCCAATAGTTTTGTTACTCATTTTATTAAGTAGGCGTGTGGTATTAAAAACGACGGTAATGTGTCACTTCACTAGTTTGTTCACGTTTTTTACCAATTACATTCAACCCGAATACTCGCCAACTACCGAGTCTCTGAAGTATATTTTTGAAATCGAAGCTTTTTGGGATCAGAGGATTATGGGAATCGACTACCATCGGCCTAATTTCAAGTTTGTAAATTTGTACTTTTGTAGTGCATCTGCCACTTTACCTTCAGATGTGTCATTCAGTCACACTCTGTAACTTGGGGTGCACTTTTTTGGACTCTCGAACGACGTGCTGCATCGTGGCACGCAGAAGTCGTAATTTGCATTGAGATGCCTTATGCGGGCGTGCGCCTTTAACAGCTTATACACTGCATTCGTACTAATTTTTAAAATGGCCACTTTTAGGTTTTAATTGAAACTCAGGAGCACGCGTGATGTGCGTTCAATTGCTCAAAAACTGCTCAATTAATGCAAAATTGTACTTACTTGACTTATACATATGTTGTACACAAAAACCGCCATTCCGAAATCGTGGATTTTGATAGTGATGTGTAAATTTAAGTTAGGTCGTATAGCAGCATTTTTTGATTGCGTGATTTGTGCTGCCGATAATATGCGTACAGGTGCTTTTTTACAGTGACCCCATGCATTAATCGCACTATTCCTTATAGACGGAGGCCCGGTTTCTCCACGGGACTTTGCTGGTGGTCCCGATCGGCGTTTCTCGGCGCTGTTCACGCCCCAGGCCATTGCACCTTGTGCCTCTCTGGAGTCCCTCGGCTCCACCTCGACAGGCGGAGCCGGTTCCTCCCTTGCCTTAGACGACCGCAACAGACCCTCCTCGTGAAGCCACTCGCGCCTCCTGTACATGTGCGTGTGTGTATATATTTGTGTGCATGTGCACGCGGTCAATAACTCACCTGCCTCGTTTCTGCTCTGTTCAGGAACTTCGCTGTTTCCTTTGCAAATTCCCACCTGATGACTTCTGCTTCTGAAGTCGTAAGCTTAATGCGGTAAATGGAAATCATGCAAGGCATATTACGATAATGAATGTCTCACCTGTCTTTTATAGTTACTAGAATACTCTGTAAGGGCTTAGTGTGGGTGGTTTCTTATCAGACTTAACTAGAAATTGCTCAGCAAATGTTTGGACAGAACTAACAACACAATATTATCTGCTGCGTAGCGTTACAAAAGTGTACGTTATGCGCTTGTCTTTGGACTCAAATTTTCTTTTGCATTTCATTTTCTTGTTAAATCAACAAACATGGACAGCCGTACATCACCACACGCATCATGATTGGTATTTTAAGCAAGCGTTAAGCCGTAAATCCAAAAACTGTTATCAATTGACCTTGAGACTTGCGTGGTTGAATCAAATCTGAGGTAGTAGCAAATGAATTGCTCCTAATGCAGTGTTTTAAGTGTTCCTCCCTTTGCTATCGTCTGTGCTGTCCCCTGGGCAAAAAGTTTAGATTTGATTGCCGCCAGCTCCCTTCCATGTCTTGGTGTATGGCGTCTGTTCGTTAAAGCTGGTTTAAAAAGTTACGTGGCAGCTAAATGGAAGATTTAGTGATTGTGGAATATGCGCTCATTCATTCCATTCATCTTATTTGTATTAGGACAATATTTGGCTTCTTGCTTTGTTTATTTTTTGATATTTAAGGTGCTTAGAATAAACACTGTTTACTGATACTAAGCAAACTTTTGTGAGCACTAAAATTTCCGAGGTTTGTGGTTTTCACAAAGTATGTGCATCAGCGATCAAAGTTATCTAATGCTTGCCATCGAGAAAGTGTTGCCATGAATTAAGTTAGCATTAAATGATGGCAGCGCACTGTTACATTGACGATAGCCGTGGTACCTCACGAAATATCCATGCCCCTATTGCCTGCATCTGTGGTTTGTTGGTAATCGACAATATGGATGTGTTGTCCTGTCAATATGTTTTGGCGTTTGTAAAAGAAAGTACCTTGAAGTCATCTTGCCTCCATTTTGAAACTTTAAAAATATAAGTCCATTCATCAAGTCTCATCAATGGTGTTATTCTGTTGTCCAGCATCCATAAAACAGTTTAGAAATGCAAATATGCAAATTTGCTATGGTCGAATTGTTCATTGTGGGGACGTGCACCATCTAACGCTAGAATTCGATTCCAGATGCGGTGATCGTGTTCAGTGTGGAATCAGTCAAATGGAGGGTTGTGTGAAGTCGGAAGAGGTGTTGTTTCATCGGTCTTTGCTTAACTCTTTAATTTTAACATTCAGTGTTCAAAGCCAAATGTTCCTGTAAGGTATTGAATTGCTTATTTGAGCTATTGTGGTCTCAAGTGTCATTAAAATTTTCTGAAAATGTGATTTATTTGTGTCAATTTCCAAGACAACGCTGAATTCCACTTACCGGTTCTAACATGTGATAGGACTGAAAACCACTAAACCCATACGTCTTTTCGAACTCCAAAAGTCTTGTTGACACCTCTCAAAATGTCGGAGTTGGATATGCCCCCTACTAACTTCATTGTTTGTTGGTTTCTATTATAAATTCTTTCAAAATGTTCTAAAATAGGTATTATTGTATTTGATTTATAATTTCCATTAAGAAACAAAAACTTAACGATGTTATTGTGTGATGAATGCCACTGGCTTTTGCACTCCGATCAGCACAAGTAATTTAAACTCTAGACTCCTACCTACGTGTCGATAGCCTTTGTCTTCTGTCGATGCTTTCCTGTCCAGATCTTTATATTCCAAACCTAGTTTACAGTTCGAGGTGCGTTTTCCAGACAATGCATACCAATGTGATTTTAGTAAGGATTTTTAGTCTGTAGGCCTTAATTTGACCCATCATCCCCGTAAGAAAATCAGTGAGCTTCAGGAAAGTCTAGATTATGCTGCAGCTAGATACGTAAAGGAATGGTTCGCCAAATACAGAATTTAACCATGCAAATACGGGCTATACAAGACGTGAATTCATTTTTGTCTGGTGATCACAATAATGCCCCATCCTAAATTAAAGCCATACGATTGTTCTATTTGACCAAAAGGTAAGACTCCGAGGTCGCAGTGGTAAGGTACCCCTTTCCATGATTAATGTAGGAAGCTGGAATTGTTAAATACCACGAATTTTATCTGTTCTATACGCTTGATCCTGGTTAGTATCTCACATACCCAACCCCACTCCGAACAGAGCAAAACCCCGAGTTCAGTCTAAAACGGACAGCAGTCCTCAGCCAATGGCGAAATCAATGAAAACTGAATTTTTCGAACCAGCCCGACGGAAAAGGAAAATGTAACGATGGTAGTGATACAACTCGGTGCTGTTTGTAGTCCAGTGCCTATCCAGTAACCTCGTCTTTTGGCTAATAATGGACGTGCAAATGGACCCCATTAAATACCTGGAATGTAGTGAATGCACAACAAATTAAGCTGCACTCTATTGGAACCCGCACATTGTCTTAATAAGCTACGCCTATCAATCTTGTTCTGCAGAAAGCAAAGTTCGATTAGACATACTAGCTGAAGTTTCTTAGTAGTTGCGATCAGTGCGCACAACCGAAAACAATTCAAGTACATTTCACCACCTAAAGGTGAATACAAGCGCACACAATTTGATTCACCACGCAGATTCAAGGATAAATGCTCGAAATTAGTTTCAAGGCGATGCCATACACATTGTCGCGGTTAAATTATCATGATTATGAACTTGTCGGAAGTCCTGATTCTAAACCGACAAGACGTGCCCCTTGTTGAAACGTGAAAATGCTAAAATGAATGCAGAGATGCGAAGTGAAATCTGATCCCCGGCACGCTGTTGGGAAGCTATTAGCTGTGGTGTGCTGTTGCCCTTCTGTCAAATGACCCATGGTGTACGACAGTGGCCGCACCCGTCGGTACACATCCGACCCAACTCTTAGTCGCCACCTAAAATATGCACTAAGGGGTACCAAACAAGACTGTAAATCACTATACGATACAACTGCAACCTTCATGCTGTATACCATGTGCTAAATCGTGTTTATTTAATCGCTTTCTCCTTCCTCCGACGTGATGCCCCACTTCACAGCATGATGCCAGCCATAGGGAAGCCCAACTCACATCGGATTAGCTCGAATGTTTGTGCTAGACAACCCTCCCCCATGTCTCGATGTTGGCCCATCTATGGCTCACGCCGTCACACACCTGAACTATAAACACACGTACGTAAACGCAGAACGCGACACTCCGACGACTTGTTCGGTCTCGAATAAGCGGTTATCTGTCCCTATGGGTCTCAATCGCTACTTGCGTGCTTTAGGTTATGTTGTGCCACAACACATGTCCACCAACACAGATAATTGATCAGAGGGCTATATACTAGGTCAAAGCCAACAGTTCGGGTAAGGGGCAAATAGAGCATGTTACTTAACTGAAAATGAACCGGGAGGTAGGGTCTTGACACCAGGTGCAGTGACTAGGTCTATGATCCAACCTCCAGTGGAATATTGTTTCAGGAATAGAAGCTATCTGAAAGTTTTGCACAGTCCGAAAAGCCAAAAAAGTGATGAAAGAACAGAAATGTGAAAAATTTAAGATGGATGTCGAGGTTAATGTGAGAATGATAGAAAAACGGGCAAAGAAGGCCCACGCAGTAGACAAACAGACAACGCAGTGTGTATTCAACAGATTACATACACAGAAGGTTGCTTTAGGATGATAACCATACAGAAGTTACACGGGCGGAGTCAGAGTCGCTTAGAGAGGGGCACCATCGACAGGGGGCAGGACAGCATCGCGCATCGGGTCGCTTTCACCGCGGAACCAGGGTGTTTCCTTCCATAAAAACCACAGGGCGGCAGCCCATAAAGCAACGTTGGAAAATCCAAACACCTTATGTTAAGACAAAACCAAAATTAAAATCACAGCAGTAAAAATGAAATGAATTTAGAATTGCTGCACATTACTGAAAGGCCTTTCGCTAGATACAGGACAAATTATCACAACCGTCACAAACAATCTATTAAGGATAAAAATGTTCGTTCAACCAAATAATTTTGGACACACGAACAGCAAACTGCATCACCAACAAAAAATTCCTCTGCTGGTGCCATTGCCAGTAAGCACAATAAAGTAAAATATTAAATCACAAATAATACTTGCTCTCCATGTAGGATCTTCCTAGCACGGGAATAGTACTGATTAAGGGATAACAAATTTAGAAGTTCAATCTGACAGGACCGCAATTTACATCTCAATAAAGTACGTTATTAACTTGAAAATATGGTCCGGTTAAGGGGATCTATCCATTATGATGTAGGAAGAGAGGTAGATAACGCTAACACTGTTTCGTATCAAATTTTAACGAGATTATTAAATCAAGCACTAGGTGGGTGGCCATTTGGGGTTTCTTCAACACTGCACAACTCACCAAGGATATATTTAATCCAGCGTACCCTTGGGGTGCAACAACTGTACAATTAAAGTTTTTGCAAATTTCTTCTTTGATAGCTTCTTCTGATGTATAACGCTTGAGCTGGTCGACGCCTCTGGCCCAGACGGCGGAGGCGACAAACCACAATAGCACAATAAAGGCACTCAAGCCAAAGTCCTGTAATGTCGGGAATTATAAGCTGCAACTTACGGCCTTCCTGAAAATAACAACTGACTCATACCGTTCTACGAAGATGGTGTACAACGCCAAAACTCCAATGCAGTACAAAAACGCCACAACACCAATAAAGACGTAAAACTGTGCAGCAGACGAAAAGTTACCATACAGAGGTGACTTTGGGTCGCACACAGGATTGCATTTTTCTAAAGAAGTCAATCTGGACCAGAGTTGCTTTAAAAATAATTACTAACGCAAATGGATAGGAGAAAACCAAGTTATATTTCGTTTCGTTTTGAGAGGGGCATACAGCAGTAATAGTTATGCGCCCATAAAAGCTAGTCGTTGAAGCAAATGCGAAGATGGCGAAGAGCTACGTAATCACAAACTCTGGTGAATTAATTCATACCAGCTGCAAGATCCTAACAAATCCTCGTGGCTCTTTAAGAACATCATACGTGGCAGACTAACATAAATCACGTTATCTGAACCAAAACTACCGGATTAAACTGATCCATCACAGCGGATGCTCAGCAGACGTAGACGTATGGAAACTCGGGTCAGTTTATTTTGCGCTAGGAGGAGTAGTGTCATTAATTATCAGACAAAACAACAGCTATCTTAATTTGTAAGCATAATTTTACTAAAAACCATTAGGCAAAAAAATTTAAAATAAAAATTATAACCCATTTTGGTTAAAGGTAGTTTGCAGCACTTTTTATACACAAGCTCTTGGTACTTTAGCATATCCTTTGCAAAAGCACCATATTCTTACTTACAGAATACAATGGAACGTTATAAATGAGCTACGGATATGCAGGAAGTGCTTACGAACTACCTGACAACATTTCTAGACATTCAAGTTGTTTAGATGATGAGGGATTTTTTAGAAATAACCTTTACGGTGTGGTCATGTAACTTTTTGCACAATTCAGCTGTATCATTATTGAATATCTGAGGTCTGCATAAGCCCTGATGCGTGATTTAAGGCACCTTTACATTTTTAAATTGAATAAAAACAACGTTTCAATTTTTTTTAATTAACGAAATTCGAGTAATTAGAAACCAACGTTTTAAGTGTAATCTCTTCCGGCAAAATTGGTTATGTGAACACGCTCACATTACGTGTTTTTACGAACAGGAGTTTGGGACGTACAAACTATTTTTAATTCAAAGAAAGTTTAATGTTTAGGTTAGTGGACCCAAGGAATTACAATCTACAGCAGGATGTAAAAGTGAAGTTATCTTGACACACACACACAACTAATATCACCAAGTTACTGTAGCGCTATGTGCTAACTGAAAAGTGCTTCGTTGCTATACTGTCTATCACAAGAAGGGAATTGTGAGCTTTTTGCTGGCATCATCATTCCTTTGCTTTTTCTGAATGTGGTATGAAAATTACTGATTTCGCCATTGAGAGTCTCGATGTTTACATTGAAAACTCATCGAAAAAAGGGAGTAATTGTGTTTGAGGACCGATAAATTAACAATAAGCCAGTAGAGTACGAATAGCTTAGGAGAAATTAATTGAAATCTAACGGTAAATGTAAAATTTAGAGACTAAATAGTATTTTAGGCGAATTTAACTCTATATAACGCCGAGGAAGCAAAAGCACCTAACACAAAGTAACTATTTGATACTCGTTTAAAAGCTAATTTCCAGTTTAGTATAAAAACAAGGAAAAAAAGAAACTTACTCACGGGCGCGCTATAGAGGACATTCTCTACTACGGTGTTTTTTCCAGTTTAAATAATAAGATGACTAAACAAATATGTAGACATAAGGACACAATGCTCATACGGAAGGGAGTTGCAGGCAGTGCTATAAATTATCCCGTCATCTTACTGGAAATTGGTGTTTGTCTCAGAAATCAGGCTTTTTAGGATGGATCTAGTAGTAAATTGTACGAACGTTAAATAGAACTCAAAATACGAAAATATAATAATGTTTTGTTTGGTTGAGTTGAAGAAGGTGTGATCAGTATTTTGTAGAACTGATTCCCTGGTATGTTTAATCGACCTAATCTAATGTGAAGCTAATTGTTATTTAACCACAATGTCAATCGTTTGGCCTCCTCTAGTATTTTGTGAGGATAAGTTTGGTGAGTTTTATCCTCGTGGCGAGAGCAGACAATTGTCTGCACCTTCAAAATACATGGCTTGGTTCCTTGAACTAAGCTGATTTCCTTTCTAGCAGCATGCCAGGCTGCAAATATATAGGTTGATTCTCCATTTACTAAAAGTTCACCTATCTCATGTGGGAATTGCGGTAGCTTCAATGACTAAGTATGATCGAAAGCAACCACAGTATATCAAATTACTATTAATGCGTGTAGCAGATCATCACACGCTAATGGGTTTCTAGTCAGTCATTTATATTAATTTAACTGATGTTCCTGTATCTAGAACGTAAAGTTACAGTAAGGTTACTGATAGACCTATTTATATGTTGACGAATCGACTTCGTCACCTCAAACGAGTCAGCCTTTGTAATGCAATAGTGAAACAAAAGTGTATTAATTATCATCAGGAATCACTTATCTTCGAAATAATTGAGAATTTTGAAGCTCAACAGATGGTATTTTCCTAGCACGGGGATTATACTGATTAAAGGATAACAAATTTAGAAGTTCAATCTGACAGGACCGCAATTTACATCTCAATAAAGTACGTTATTAACTTGAAAATATGGTCCGGTTAAGGGGATCTATCCATTATGATGTAGGAAGAGAGGTAGATAACGCTAACACTGTTTCGTATCAAATTTTAACGAGATTATTAAATCAAGCACTAGGTGGGTGGCCATTTGGGGTTTCTTCAACACTGCACAACTCACCAAGGATATATTTAATCCAGCGTACCCTTGGGGTGCAACAACTGTACAATTAAAGTTTTTGCAAATTTCTTCTTTGATAGCTTCTTCTGATGTATAACGCTTGAGCTGGTCGACGCCTCTGGCCCAGACGGCGGAGGCGACAAACCACAATAGCACAATAAAGGCACTCAAGCCAAAGTCCTGTAATGTCGGGAATTATAAGCTGTAACTTACGGCCTTCCTGAAAATAACAATTGACTCATACCGTTCTACGAAGATGGTGTACAACGCCACTTCACCAATAAAGACGTAAAACTGTGCAGCAGACGAAACTCTGATTGTTACGGGCAGATGTTTCAACAACTTGACAGCGCCGCGCACACAGTACTCTACTCATCAATAAGGCGATTCTGAAACTCAACTGACTTCATTTATCAAAAAACTCTTCAACGTGTGCCTAGATGCATTTTTCGAATAGTAATGTTGAATCATCTCGTTGTTGTGATCCCTACATATGCTCACAAATACTTTTTTTAATGGAGTAAGAAAGACTTTGCAGACCTTATAACAAAATTGTGACAGGCCATAGTTTGGCTGCTCCGGGGCACAAATTTAAATGTAGGTATATCTGAGAACAGTTTTATTCCCAGTTTATGCTCTCGTTTATGTCTCATTGCCATTTATTCTTCAACTAGGTCCACACGTGCTTATATATTCCAACTTTTTGCAACTAATTGTTAAAAAGAACTTGCCATGGCGCTGATGACGGTATTATGAACTGGTTTAAACTCTCAATGCTGTCAATGAGTCTGCAATAAATTTAAAATGCATTCTTTTATCCTTTGATCAAGCCTGCTTTTCGTCGTCAAAATTAAATGACTGTAAATTCATAGACAGCTAGAATGGTAAATTACGAGCCTTCCTACAGTTATTGGTTTCGTTTTCTATTTAATTTTAACTGTATACTAAGAATAGTTTACGATAATAAACCGAGATTTTCTGTTGTTGATCGATAGTCATTTACTTGCGATAAGGTTTTTCCAATAAAGATTTTTAAAAATGTGGATCTAACTTCATGTTTCGGATATTTAAAATAAGTAAGTTGCTGGATATTATCTTCGAATGAAGTCCACGCACTATATATGGTCAAAACCATTAATCATATTATGCTAATTATATTGCTAGCGTGCTTTGAACAAATTACACGGTTTTTAAATACTAGCCTATGCTCTCTTATAATTTACAGGCTCTAGGCTCAAATAATGAGGAATACCTATCCATCTTAAGGAGGAATAAATAAAGCCAAAACATGACGTTGCTGCACTAAGTGTAATGCTTGATAGACCCACGCCTTCTTTCAGTCCTAGCATGCGATTTAACTATATTGCATTTTTCATTTTACCACTGCACTATGTTAGCAAATCTAGCGGTTGGCTTTAAAACTGGACTACGATACGGAATAACATCGCATGTGGCTCAGAGTTCCCACCATTTTCACTATCCTGTCAAGAGAAAAACAGACACCCTGGCTAGTCGGCGCGGTATACAAAACGGCCCTTGCATCAGGATGGGTAATAAATCAAGGACTGAGTGTTTACTCTCCCACAGACTCCTGATTCTTCTACCGCCGTTCATCGTCTACATTCAACTGGCATCACTCAAAGCGAAATATCTTTCAGAACCCTATTTAAAAGATACTGGTTTATTTCACGACCTGGTAGGTGAAAAGAAGGTCTGAAAGACTCGGCGCTGGAACGCTTTGTGGTTTTCACTATTCCACTGGGAGCGTCATCATTGTCTTCCGCGAAAACAAAGTATAACACTAAAATAGATGGCATGGTATCATTTCTGCATTTCTAACTTTTCCGAGATGTCTTGTATGTTTGGTGTAAGAGGCCTGCGAGGTGGTAGCAACCTTCTTCCACGCTGTTGGCCATAATACCACTATTTAGTGTATTATTCAAAGCATTTTTGTGTGAATCTTCGATTAAAAGGCCGCATTTTCCGTTCAAGGTTGACTTAGTTTCTAATGTGGTCAGCAAGTTCAGGATATTGCACCAACGTCGTTCTACTCGAATGTTACCAGTGCCTTCCAGAAATCACTGCAAAAATTGGAGAGAAATGGAAGTTGAACTAATGAATTTTCATTTTTCAAATGAATGTGCCATAGCTCTGACTAAGGCATGCAATGATATCGATTGTACTACATTGGTGGGATTTCGTACCCTTAACCTGTCACCAACGTGTTGGATTTGGAGTTAAATAACATTGTTAAAATAAAAAGCAATGGTAGTAAAGTTAAGATACATACTAAATGATTACTTTTGGAGCTGAAGTTCATGTCAAATCTTCTGCTCAGTTGAATTTCGCATTATTTGGCACCCTTTCTGCTTCAAATGATCCAATAAGTGGGTCCCATTGAAGTAATTTGATGGCTGCACAAGAGTACGCTTATACAACTAAACTAACCACGTTTAACTTAGGCAAATTGCACGCTCAGAAATGTCGTACTTTCCGTAGGCTACACAGATTGCTCAAGGCGCTCTTGATTTAAAGCATAAACTAGTGACATTTTGGAAATACGGATTGCTGCTAACTAACAACCACGTTTGTTGGAGTTAAAAGTAAAAGATCAACTGATGAAGTGGATAGTGCAAACACCCTTATAATATAAAAAATTCACTTCCCAAACACAAATAAAATCTCTGAGAAAATGCAACAAAATAACCGCATTTTAGCTTAACTGATTGCATGCCAACTTAGGGCCTCACAGGCTACTGCCAAGTTTCGTCGGCAAGCTGTCAATCGGGTCTCACTCAGATCGTTGCATAAGTCAAAATTTGAGCAATGTTGAATTGTGCAGTACCTAGTAAGCTTTTATTGGAGGGCAAACAAGGCATCCAAGGACAGCTTTTTTGAAATCAAGTGCATTGGTATATCTCATCATTGACACTACACACCATGCAAAAAGGGCTGTAACCTTAATTTTCTAATAGAAAGCATCAGATTCATTTGATTTTTTTCGGAAAAGTACAAAAAATTCATAATCTTTAAGCCTTTTAACATAAAACTTCATTTAAAATTTTGCCCTTAAATCCAGATTAAGTCGTGTTTCATACACTAAGGTATAGTAATGATCAGCAAATGAATCAAAAGGCGGTACACAGAGGTCACAACCTTACCCAAATAAAAACCCATCATTCTGCCATCGATGATGCATTTTGAAGAAACACCAGAAATACCCTAATGATAAATACTATACACAATACAGCATTCAAGGCCTGCAACGATTTCTCTTGACTATAATTTCTACTTCTTCTCTTATTTTTATAATTCAAAATGAACCACAAAATTAAACCTTCAAGGCGCACAAACCTCTGGAATCAAGAGTTAAAACGGGGTACCTACGGTATAACTTTTTGCACAAATGCGTAATTCCCCACACACACGTTCGCGTCCGTTCGATTGGTTTGATGCAGAAATGAAGAGCAAGGGAACGAAAAGTTTGTTCCTTCACGTTCGTGTTTCATAACCCTGTTTGCTTCCTCTTGCTCTCTTTTCAGGTAACCGCTCGCCAGGGGAGTCGTAACTATCCTGGCTACCTTTGAAACCAGCGACACCACTGCCGCCGCTTCCACCACCGCAGCTACAAACAGTTGTTCCCTCGCCTCTATTTCACCTTCCCTCCCTCCCTCTCTTCCTCGTAATGAGATTCATTCGCAGCTGTTCCAAGTTGCTCGGCCGCGAGGCCGAATATGTTTGTGTGAGCCTTTAAATGTACCTCATTCGCTTATCCAAGCTAACACTTATATACACAGGAACAAAAGATACAAGTGCCGCCGAAGCCCGGATGCCTAATTGATATGAGAGCGTATCTTTGGCTGGCGGCCGGAGAAGAGGTGCGCAGTTTGTGTGCTACTAATTCATAAATAATGGGTTCTGATGGGTTCTACACAAAGCAAGATCATTGGGAGCAGTAACAACAGAAGTGCAGGAAGTACATTGATTCACAGTCTGCGGTGGGAAATTCTAGAATCACGCGGCCAGGCAGGAGGGCCGCGACAAGCCGATAGTATCGCTTCAACTTTGCAAAATCCCTGTTGATGTGAAATCGAATTTTACAAAAGTATGTATTAAGCCTTGACGGATGATAGATAAGTGGTAGTTCATAAGAACGTTTGCACTTACAATGCTATTAAATGAGCTTACTTCCTGAAATTGAGTGACGTGTAAACAATTGAAAATTTAACCTTAATGTATTTGGTGTGGTTTTTCATGTAGACACCGTGAAAGCGTACATTTTATTAATCGGTCTGAAGCCGCAATATTAAACGTACTCATAAATATGAACACAAGGTGAACTTCCATAACTCAAAGTCTGTATCGAGCTGACATCCTAGCACAGCATACATACACTAAATGACAATGCAAGTAAGCGCTGGTCACTTTGGAAAGAAAAGTAGCATTGAGCATTTAGGTCGCTTAGAGTCGACCGTACCAAAACTCGGCTTTGGGGAGGCGCATCTGATTCTGGCGCACGCGAAATTTATTGTGATGGCGCTTTATAAAAAAGAGATTTCTCATTCCTGAAGTACGCATTTAACTTCAAGGCTCTCTGATGCCAAACATTTGGTAGAATTACGCTGCCCTTTAAATAGTACGGTAAAAGGTTGGCTACTCAGTCTTTACGAAAGGACATTTGGTAGAGATTTAATCAAATGAGCGTGAGCATTATTTGCCAAAATTCTTAGGTTCCCCGATGGTTAGAGCAACGTCAATATTCTATTTTGCATCTAGACATGCAATTTTACGAGCAATGAGCTCATGCTTTGGCAATCCAACTGGATAAACCTTAAAGCGACAACGACTTTCTCGGAATCCTTTAATGTGGCAACTGCATCATTTCCCCCTATTTACACAAACCGGATGTGTACGACCACAGGAACAGTGATCCTGTTCTGTAAAGGTCAATCGTTAATGAAGCTCTGACTTTTATGTTCGCTCGTTTTGGATGGAACCATGCACAATGGCTCTAAAGCAGTTTACACATCCAGACTACTTTCTTAATTCGCTGATAATCAATGCTACCACAAAATATAAAAGCAGTAGACATGTAAAAGTCGCGGACCATGGGGCCACAGAATGCCATGACTACGAAAGGAATCAAGATTAAGCTTGGACGAGTACGTATTAAATCGCATAAATAGCTTATTTTAGTTTACTATCGGAAAGCAAGCAGACAAGCTAACTCGAAGTGACACTTGAACTGAAGGCTTCTTTCCAATAGCTTTTTGTTAATTATATACACATACAAAGAAGTCAAACAATTTCTTGTAGAGGGTAAAATATAAGTTTGGAAGAAATCGATTAGAAGAAAACCGAAATGCAGAAACGGTCTTTAAGCTGGAGTCAGGACGAATAAAATAACACGCCTCCATTCGGAAGTCGATGCTTCAGACAAAATTTTGTTTCGGTGGGGAAGTGTGAGTGCTTGGGTGTGGGCACACTCGTGTTTTCACAATAAAACGCAGGAGAGAAGTAGTAAAAAAATAAAGTCTTCACTGGAGTAGGGAAGTCATTAAAGCTCTGGAAGGGAAAGAGCACCATGCTTTCTCTATGGGAAATGGTGAGAGAGCACGTGTTTTGGTTAAAGCGGCAACAGGGGAGAAGGGTGAGAGGGAGGAGGGGAGAAGGGGAAATGAGAGCCGTCCTGCACAGAGGCGCATTTAATTCTCCATGTCACCAATTCTTTACAGGAATGTTTCGCGCATTGGCAATGGAAGAGAATTTCGCTCCACAGTGTCTATTAGGTGGGCTCGAATTCACCTATTCTCCCATCTGGTCGTGGACAGTGCCTGTGGTATAAATGGACCTCATCCATTGGGCCATGGTAGCAAGGAGGAAGGATGTAGGATCCATTTAGTGGAATTTGCAATCTGAAAAAGGGGTTGTGGCAAGAATTGACAGAGTTTACTTAAAATCGCTTTTTTTATAACTTTAAACAGCTCTAAACTAAGGTACTTTTACCAAAAGCAGAACTTCAACAGTTTAGATAAAGTTTGCAAGAGTTTACTTTATTCGAACTTAAATTTTTCACAGCCGTTTCTACGGGTGAATCATTAGTTGACATATTCTATCACCTTTTTAAGTTTTTATGCTCAAATATATTGTAAGCAATTTCTACGCATGTATAATAATATCACTTGAAACACAAGGTACTACTTACATCAAGACGATTGATTTCACATTTTGTAATGCATAAAGGATTCAAACCAAGGTGCTTTAAGGTCGTTCAACACAAAAAAGTAATTTGAAGGGGCCGATTTTACATAAAACAGTTTCCATGGAATTTTAATTGCTTTTCTGTAAATGAAATGACTATACTGCACAATTTTCCTTGCAAAGACCAAAAAGGACATTGTCTGAATTTAGTTAAATTCAGTTATGATGTTCATCCATTAAAATAATCTGAATGATAAGTACTGAAGTTAAGATCAGAAAATGCCTGGTCCGTCAGTTGTTAATTACAAAATTGATCAGAACACGTGTTGACAAGGACAAACAGGGTCGACTTCCAAGTCAGGTTTCATTTAAATGTTTTTGGGTTCAAAGTTTTGTACCATGCTAAAGCATAATTCGCAAGTGACAATCAGTTTGCCCTGGTAAAAACGCCTTTATTGAGATATATCGTCAAAGTACACATAATCCACTTAGTGGAGCAAGTACCGCATTTCTTCTGACACAGCATTTAGCAACCGATTCGTTTTAGTTAATAATCGGAATTTGCAAAGCACCTGCTGGTAAAATCAAGGCTGCCGACTAAATTGCATGTAGATCGGAATTCAGAGGTTGCATTTATTTAAGCAAGCAAGGCGACGGAGGGTCTGGAGTACCTGGTTTTATACATGGGTCTGTTGAAGAATGGTCTAGAACATGTTTTAGCATTTACCCATGTAGGTCGCAATAACACCACAACTACTATCTAAATTTGAGCAAGAGAATATTACCTTCCCCAAATAACAGGTGCAAAATGCTTTTGTACACAACTGTTGAAACAGATCACGAATTTTTAATGACTAATCAGTAATTAAAGGCGTAAATGTTTTGTAGATAATCAAGGCTGGTGGCATACTCTTTGTCGGTGAATTTTGCTCTTCCGTCGAGCAGGGCCTGACATCGCGTGTTACCCTCGGGACAAGAGCAGTAGCAATCATCGTAGGTATAGTTGTTCAGCTGTAACGGTGGAATGCACCTTCGATTTTCACACCTTTATAAAATCGAAAAAAAATATGCACTAAGTCCGAGATTTAGAAAATGGTGTTATTGATAGCTAAAACGATAACGTATAAGTCAATATAATCATTTACTTATTCACTGAGATAAATCGTCGTGAAATCAAAATCTTTTATTAAGACTAATATTTGGGCGTACAGACTAAAAGTGCCTTAAAAGGAGCTTAAAGTTTGGTAGCCAAGAGGTACTTTTGCTCAATTCCAATTATTCTCCTCATTTACGAAATCATATACTTATGTGGAAATTAACCAGGCGTTTTGTCTCTTCCAATCTGAAACTGCAAAATCAATTTTTGAGCTTAAAACAAAATAAACTAACTCCAATCCATTTATTTACTGATCTAATGGAAGGATCCTTAAACTACGTCACAGGAAAGGGAGATCACTCATATGAATAAAAATTAACTTGAGAATTTTATTTATCGCCCATTTATAATGCACAAATGTGAAAATGAGCCTTTGCCATTTCCATCTTATTATGAATATTTAGCGTCTCAATTGCATACTGGACTACATGTTTAGTAGTTAATTGGTTGTGTTAACCTTTTAACGATTAAATAAGCTGGGTCACGTATGCTCAAAAGCCGCAATTTTAACGTAGATGGTACCATCAAAGCCACACGACAACACCGAGTATTGGGGATAGAAGTTGTTAGATATGTTCTAAAAAGTTAGCATGTAGCAAAACGTTTTTTGCCTCCTGTTGATCTTGTGCGAAAAGCAAAGTAATGGGTTTGATTAAAACCTTCACTGTAATTTCATTTAAAGCACTTCAAACTTACACGTACACTGGTAAACCGCAGTGGATTTGAAACTCAGATAAACATCACACACGGAGGTTTTTGATGCTCTGGCTACTGAGTTAGGTAATAATTTTTGTCCGTTCGTTTTTTTATAAAAAAAAATTGTGATGTTTGCATTTCATCTGTGTCTGTAGTCATAATTTTGCTAAAATACGTTCGTTTTATTATACTAAGCCAAATTTGCCACTTTTACTCCATCAAAATTGGTCATTGCAAGTTTTTTTAATAAAGTACATTAAATGAACTACTTTTAGCCGTCGTCAATGCCAGAAATGTATATTAACTTAGTCTATTTTTGGTCAATTTTCAGTGGCAGATCAGCGATTAATCACTTATTCAACACACTAAAGATAATTTCATTCTGGATAGCTGAAAGGTTAGTGGTAATACATTCAGGCAGAATATTCCATGAATTCCAGGCAAATAAACGGGACGGTGAAATTGGTTAATGATTGATTAGTGACTAAACTGCGTAGTTCTGTGTCCCATTAATGGAAGCAACTAAATATTTGCCGATCTACCCCATCAAAGCCTAATGGAGCAATAAAATTTTTCTCTCGAATCAATGATTGCTTTGGTATGGGAACGGGAAACACTGGTTAAATGTATTCTGCAAAAAATAATTTATAAAAACTTTAAAAGGATTTTGCTTATGCTATGTATTTACGGAGTCAACCGAACAGTGTGTATTTATACAGGCTCTGTATGCTAGAGGGCTTGTTTGGGAGAGTTCATCTGAATGCAGTCACGTATATTGACTAATAAGGCAAGAGTGGGCCTGAGGAGAATATTAACATGAGAAAAAACTCAAAATAAACAATTTTGTATTGGCTTAAGAAACATTAATTAGGCAAACTGCAAAAAATTGTGATACAAACCTTTACAAGTAGGTTATCTCCCTTAACGGAGCGATCGTTTGTATAACTTGTGGTCGACAAATTTTCTTTTGAGATGTTGCTTACAGATATAGTCGATATTTGTTATTGGGCTTTGCTTTCACCTTAACAACATGGCCGGTTTTTAGTTTACCACAAAAGCATCAACATGGGACATAAAGTGGGGTCATAGTGCCATTTAGTTTTGCCTGTTACTTTGTGTTTGCAAATTTAGATTTTCACTACTGGCAATTTATTATTCTAAAACACGGGAGAAAAATCCACCTTCTTTGACATCCGCAGCTCACGTGCTCCGTTAATGCAATCACTTCAGTTGACGTTGATCCTTTGGAGGTCTAAAAGGTTCAAGGAATATCACACTTAAATTTTCTGTGCCAAAATCCAAATTAAATGAGAATTTCAACTCATCCTAAGATGATAAGATGAACAAATTAATTTCCTCGATAATTCCTACCTTTCAACATTTTAAAAATCAATAGCGCCTCAGTTTAGTGTGAATTTTTAATTAGCCCTCTTTCCAAAATTTGCGCACTTTGAACTAGATTTCAAAGAAACATTGTAAATGTCTATCACATCACCATTGGAAGAGGGCGCTTTGAGGGCTGCTGCTAAAAGTAAATGGACAAATAAAGCGTCAACTCCTTCACAAAGATTTTCATTGGTATTATAATTGTAATAAATAAATAAAATTTCACAGTTTATATTTTGGCTAAAACCATCTAATGTCGAAGTTGGTATACACTATAGCTTGCGTTTGTAGTTTAAAGCCGTCGCAGTGATACCTCAAAAAATGGGATTGGAGAGAGGTGAAAATGATGACATTAGAAAATAGGCATTGTTTTAAAGTTCTTGAGGGGTGACTGACTTCATTTCAGTAATGTGTTGCACATTACCACGACTTACCTTTTAAGGTACGTAAATAAGTAGCAAAATTGGCAATGAGCTTCAAGATCTGCATTAAGTGTTGCATGTGAAATAGAATCCACGCCTTTTAAATACTTCTAGAATGCAAGACACGCTGCTACCTGAGTAAATAGGCTCATCATCGATGGTGGTGCTTCGAACTCACGCATAATACCCTCATAAGTTGCAGATGTGGCTGAGCTAATGTTTCCTATTTAACTCCTGTATTTTTTGTTACTTATATTCAGGACAGTGTGCCACACACAGTGAGGTCTAGATTTTAGCACTTTGGCCACGGTATATCACGCTTGCTCGGCTATTCGTATGCGTTTGAAAAGCTAACCATTTAAATATATTAAGGTAATTTTGAGGGAGTAATTGAACCTTTTTAACATTTGCAATTTATTATTATTTAAAAAAGTAATATTTAAAATGCAAAGGTTCGGTGATTTCATGCAACAGCCAGCTAAATTGAGCGAGGTTCCATGTTGGGTTAAGGTAAGAAACGATAGGGTCTGTGGACCTGTCGTTTCCCTTCGCAAAGACACGATTGCTCTCAAATCGTTAAAAACCAAATAATATTTTAAGATGAATTTTACTCGTCTGATAGCAAAGAAACGTTAAAATAACATATAACATGCCTCACCAAAATTGGTAGGCATGTTAATGGTTGTTCGAAAAATAGTTGTTTTATTAAAAGAAGTATTATCCACTTGCAAATCTAGAGTCTAACTACATTCTAAATGTGCAGTAGCCTGTGCAGTAATAGTATAATAACAACATTAGATTAAACTTAGGCAGGCAAATCTTTGCTGCAGGGCAAATGAAACAAGAGACATGTGGATCGTCCACTGCTCTTTACGATCAAAACAGCATAACCTCTGCCTCTTTTCCGTAAACAAATAACCTAAAAAACAATAACACCGCACAGTTTGCACGGACGTAACCCACAATTCATCTCAGCTTAAAATCTCTTTGCTGGTATTAACTTGCTGTAAATGAAGCTGGACGTCCTCGTATTTTCAAAATAGTTGGGTTTTCAAGGAAAATAAACCATACTTATGAAAATACCTTCATATTTACTTTATGCATTTATCAAGTTGAAATCCAGTATTCATTAAGTCGACCATTCAAACTAAGCAATATCTATTCAGTTTTTCTTGCATTTACTGGCGTGGGACTCATTAAAATTACACTAACTAACTCAATTTCAATTGTTGCTGGAAATAATTGTGTAAAATTTATCAAGACATCATATTTAGTAAGAAGTAAGGTGCTTTTCAGTGTGACACAGTGAAAAATTAAAACTTATTTCAATAACACATATTGAAAGTTTAAACATAACTTTCACTATTTCTTTTACAAGTAGTTTGAAATATTGGAGCAGTTTAAGAATTTTTGCTGAAGATCAAAGTAAGGTACCTGTCACAAGAACCAAGTGATTTGAAAAGAAGTTGATTCATTTCAATATTGCTTAACCATAGAAACTGTTAGTCCTTCATAATACTTGAAGTATACTTTATTCAACTCCACCAACTTCCACAAGGAATATCGGGATATTCATATAAAACAGCGCTAGGCCACGATATTGTAATCTATGTAGTGACCAAGCGATTGCTTCTGGAACTACCTCTAAACCTGATGCATTATCTGATTTGATTTTTCCATCATAATGAAATAAGCAACTTCCACCTTTATCACACCCAGTGCCTGCTGTAAAAGGTTACATTATCTTCGGATACACTGCATTAGAGATTACCAGCTGGCGTTACATCAAACCCAGAAATGCCAACGATTTAAGTGTAGTAAACTAAAGTCAAGCCAAGTCATTGAACCCTAGGTTCTGAGACACACAGTAGTCTTTAAACCTCTATTTCGGGTATGTACTGGCAACCCCAAGTCTGGATTAATTTTGGAACTTACGTTATACACTATCACCGATGCGACTTTAAGACGGACTTTCGTTGGAAGGCACTCCTCTTCGGGGAGAAGACAGGTACAGGAACCGCCAACATCAGAGTGATAGTAATCTGGCGCTCCCAGTCTGTCGGCGAATCCATCAACAGAGTCCATTCTATCCGCTGCGGCACAAAGCGATTTAAGCGCCATTCGAGAGCGCAGCCTCGCTGCCTGATTGAACATTGCCTGGTAGGAGTTGACAACACTACCGCCTCCAGGAACTGAACTCCAGACCGGGTTATCACAACGCTTAACGTAGATACCAGGAGGAAGAAAGAGGGTTGAGCGATCAACACGACTTCTTACAAACAGAGATCTCGTGCAAAGAGTTTTGTTCTTTGGTTTGCACGCACTACTAAGAAAATCGTTGTAGCTATTGTAGGCCTCTCGGAGTTCATCATCTGAATCTAAACAGAAAAACAATTATCAAATCGTTTCACTGCCGAACTTGAAATTAATGTGCACATTTTGATGTGTTCCAATATACTTCAAGGGCAATTACAAAAGCGGATTTAGTTTGTAAGATTTACACAATTCAGTTGGATTCTTCAACCTTAGGATTAAGCATAATGCATTTTTCTTACAAGCCGCTTCTGCGAAGAGCAAGAGGGAGTAAAAACTAATGTTTCCGATGTGAGTTTCTCGTGTAGTAAAGTCTACGTTGCGGGGGCGGTTATAAATTATTCCTAACACTGCAGGAAAGAAACATTAAATGAGAGCACTGTTAAAAAGTAAAAGAAATGAATTTTCTGTAACGCTGGAGTTAATTACCGAGATAAATTTTGCTCTTTGGCTTCTAGATACTCCTATCAAAAAGAGCTCTTGTAAAAGTGATTTTAAGTCTATGTACATTGTGTAATCTATAGCAAAAAAAATAACTGCCATGTAATAGTTTCAGAAGAATTGCCATGATAATAGGTTAATCTTGTTCCTTCAATCTTTCAGACATCCGAGCAAATATATACCTTCAAAGTAGGCTTCTACATTTAAAGCCACTTGACTCTATCAGTCTGTCATTACTTACGCTCTTCGGTCTCCTCATCAGTGTAAAGTTCCTCTGATGGGATTTCACGGGATGAAGGAGAGGAGGGCTTTTGGAGAGTTGTCTGATATTCGCTCGCCGTTTCCTTTTCATCAAGTAGGCTGGCGTCCACACTCCGTTTACTTATGCCCTTTTTTGTGTCCTCGCTCTTTGCAAGTACGTGATCTGGCGTTTTTGAATCGGCTACCGTAGCATTAAGATCTAACGGTGGATGAAAAACGGCTCCTCCACTAACTTCAGTCAAGTCAGCTCTACTTTCTAGAGCCCTTATCGATTGAGCGTGTTGAAGTGGCTTAGCGCTGGCTCGCATAAGGATTCGCTTGAATTCTGCAAAGGAGGCAGCCCTTTTTAGTGCTTGCGCTTCACGTCGCAGGACAACCTTGGCAAAGAGGTCCACCTTCTTGCTCCCCTGACGCCCATTCTGCATTCGACGTTTTGCATCCTCTCTTTCTGCTGCTTGAAGTCGTTGCATTCGGCGATTTTGCTGCACTGTTTGACGGAACAAGTGCCACTGATTAATAATAAACTGGATCTAAAATTATGTGATGAAATAATTTGAAAAAAGGCAGTAAAGCTTTGGTTCCAGAGAAAGAAACGAATGGTCTCCTTTTCGATTTCAAGCATCCTAGTATTTTCTGAGAACATGGAACACGTGGCTGGTTAATCCAATGAACAATTTATGCATCAAATACTATAACGTTCAAAGAGTGCATCAAGGAGAAATACAGGCCCAGATCCCTAGTGGAGATTAATTCTTTTTAACACTAGAAGCTTCATTTTAGGGTTGTGTTACTAAGGCCGGTTACTGACACAGTCACTAAATGTGTCAAAATATCGTACAGTTACCTTTCTCGCCTTACCCGAATACAAGTCCTATGACGACTAAACATTGTAGTACATAAAAGTGAACCCACTTAGGGCAATACGTGTATATTTACGCTTCACTATAGCTAGCCTTACGTAAGGTAAATCTATAGATAAGCCCCTCTGTTTCATCAAATTTAGAGATGCAGAAATTATAGCGCCTGAGACATTTCTTTCTTATGGGTGACTGCATAATGAACCAGTATAATGAGACATTAATTTTCCTCGTATTGATTTAAAAGTTCAATACAAGGATGAATTGCAAGGTTTTTTTTAAAAATTGACCTCATATTATCTGGTTCATGATTTTACCTTGATTCGCGTAAGTTTTTGATTTGCTTTTGACTACAGATCTTAATAAAACCTGAAAAATAATTGTAACTGAAGAAGACGTCTAATGTCCACATTCCGACTCTAGGCAAATTTGATCATATTTCTAATACAAAGCGTGCTGTAAAATTTTCCAATTTATTGAATTTTCGTGAATGATACAATTCCGGAATAGCTTTTATAATATCACGTTAAAAGTAGAGAGAATCGTCAGAGTTTTGTGGTAAATACAATCCAGAATAGTGAAATCATTGGTTAGTACTGTAAACATTTTAGTAATAGAATTCGCCGCTTCTGGAATTACCGTAACTCTTTTAATCGAGCTATTTTAAGACGTTGTGGTTAAATTAATGCATTGAGGATACCTGTAATGGACTGATGCTCTGTTTCAAATAGGGATTGAGGTAATCAATAAAGAGTTGCACATGCCGTGGCGAGGGCAACCGAACCACATCGTGGTAGCCGAAACCGCCACCACCGTCGCTGGTCGCGTGCCTCTGAAGCCACAACGGTTGCCTGTGATGGCGTCTTCGTCGCTTCTCTAGCATTTTTACGCTAGTAAGCGTTCGTTTGGTTGTCGTTTGTGCATCCATGGAATGTGGGGGGAACGCAGAGAACGAGGAAAATGAAAGGGGCCCTTCAGATGTCCCCCTCATTTCAGAATCCGTTAATCCCGGGTATGAGGCGTAGGTAGCATTGTAATAGGCCGATTGATTAGGCTGGGAGAAGTTTTCATCTGAATGCGATAGTAATTGATTGGACAAAATGCTTGACGATATTAGCTAAAACGTAAGAAAGATGTGTTCGGAAAATGCATATTGGTTCTTGAATTAAATATTCAATTTACAAAACAGCGTGAAGTGATGAATGCAAATTTTTAGTTAACAATGCAGAAAGGTTTAAAAATCTATTTACCATCAAATGGAATGTATTTTTGAAATTTTAGACCTAATAGCACAGTATGTTTTCAAATATTATGTAATTATCTTTTTGAAATTATAGACTATTTATTGCAGTTTGGCATTAAAGAGATTGCCTACGTCCCCCACAGATAGGCTTTTGATGACGAGGGTGAAACAGCTAGAACACTGTATTTTATTTTTCCGAGTATCCAGAAGGAAGTCGACAAATGATTTCTAAAAGCAAAAGAATTAGACTGATTTGTCATGTTTTCTGACCTTCCTAGGGATCCACTTAATTTTGTAAATCTTATTTATTGAA